GGTGGAGGGGGGGTGGAGGAGACGGGGGGAACCAGTAGGATGGGGGGGAGCTTACCTGCTCCTGCTGCTTCCTCCTCTGCCTGCTCAGTGTGGAGCTCCCTCCCCCCCGCGCGAGTATCGCGTGTCCCGCCTCGTGTGTGTGTGTATAAAAACTATGATTATTATTCAAAATCCAACATTTTAATAGAGTGCAATAATTCTATATTTCACTGGAATATGAGGCAACTTGTTAGCATGTATAGATGTATACTTTAAAAATGAAAACCATTTTTCCAAGTAATTATTACTTTTTAACAAGGACTGTGCTACTAACAATTGAGTGGCTATTTTGTCAGCCACCATCACTTCCCACACTTTAGAAAACCAATTATTCAATGTCGGAATTCCATCTTGGTTCCATCTTTTTTTTTGCTGCTGAAAGGAGCAAAGAAAGCATTTCAACTGTTTGTTTTGTAAATTTTAAATCTGGCCAGTGATTAAGAAGAAGAGATTCCGGAGTATTTGGAATAACATAACCGGTGATTTTACTAATTTCTTATATAATAAGCGTCCAGTAACTAAAAATTCTTGGACAATTCCACCAACAATGCAAAACATTTCTGGGAAGGGACCAATTTGATTACCTCCCAGGTAGACCTATTGAGGGAAGTGCCCTGAAATTGAGTGGAAATTTTTTGGAGCCCAATCTTAATTTTACTGCAAGCACTAGTACAAATCTCAGGGGAGCCCAAAGTAGGAAAACAGATACATACCTAAATATGGGGGTTCCCTGTATGCGCTGGTATTAGTGGAGATGCCAGGCAGTGAATGTGGGACCTTCTGCATGCCAAGTGGTTGCTCCACCACTGAACCACAACTTTGTGTCACACATATTTAGAACACACAAGGAGATTTTAGTGATGGGAACTCCATGGGAAGGCCACTTTGTGCAGTGCAGAGGCACAAACAGCTGAGGGTGCAAACACTTACAATGTATGTCTAACACTGGTTGTCTCAGGACCCTTCTCTGCACAAGAAATTCCAGTGAGAACTTCCAGCCCTCCAACAGGGGAGGAAAGGCCAGAGGCAGGCAGCGGGGTGGTGGTGGTGGTCCCTGATCTAAGCCAGTGTTCAGCCTCTGCCCTAGTCTGTTTACTTGCGGTTTAATAGATAGGGATTGATTCCCACCCCATGCTCATTATCACCCTCAGCTAGCTTCAGCAATCAGCTCATCCAGGCTGCACCCCCCCAACAGTGCTGCATCATTGGGGGGGGGGCAGATTGAGTGCAGAGATGGCTGGGGTGAATGCGGGTGGGTAATAAGCCCCCTGAGTGCAGTGGGGAGATGGTTCATGGACTGACCAAAAAGCTGTGTGTGTGTATGATATTAGTATGAACAGCCTATCCCAAGTAACTGTAGTTGATGGGACAAGATCTTGGCTTTACTTGGGCTTCTTTTCTGGGCTTCCCTGTTGGGTGGATTATGCCTGTGCCTTCTCACTATGCTATGTCTATCTCTTCTGTCCTCCTTGCCCTGATATATATGGCTTGTATTGGTGGTGGGGCGACAGACTCCTAATACCCTACATAAAGTCTTGTTCCTATGTGTCTTGTTGGGTGTGTGGTTATAGGACTACTTGCAGGTGTTATGTGAGTTGCTGATTTTAGTTTGGCCTCTTCTGTTTTGCTTCTACTCTCCTTGTTGCTGGCCAAAATATGAACTTTGCCTCCTTGCTTGCATTCCCTATAGTGGGATCTGAACCCATGGCTCCTGGTTGGCAAGTGTGTATTAAACCCAGTGAACTTCTGGAGGGTTGCCAGGAATGCCTTATGTTAATGTGCGTTAACTTGTTGCTGCCTCAGTGTCTGCATTATTTGTGAATTTATTTATTTATTGAATTTATACCTCACCCTGAAAAAATGGGCAGCTCACAACATAAAATCAACAAGAATAAAAGCAATAAAGCAATAAATAGCAATAGCAGATCAAATCAGACCCATGTCTTATGAAATAATTACCCTAAGAAACTCCAGTGTCCGGGTAACATCCAGAACAATAGAACACTGGGAAAAGGTCATAAACCGCGCTGTGGACAAGACAGGACCATATATAATCCATGACTTCTTAGCACTTGCCTAGCAGAAGGTTGATGCTCTCAATCCAGCCATCGCCCTCAGTGACCCAAACCTTTGTGTGGCAGAAGTCTTGGGTTGTCTTATTTCCTCTGCTGAGTGAGCTGCTGAAGTGTGTGAATGCTGTGTGGGGATGGCTATGCTTCCTTCCCAGTGTACGGGCCTGGCAGTAGGGAACTTGGTTGAAGGAGGAAGCTCAGTCCCACATCTGCAGAGGTCCCTGGAGTAGACTCATAGTGCTCCTCCTGGGGTGGGGGTTGTGTTCCATCCTTCGGTTTGTTCTGCATACAGGTCAGCAGCAGCTCATCCGGAGTGGGGGAGTGGTTCCATCGGTGTGAGCTGTTTAATTTTCTCCCTCTCCCCAAATACTAGAGTGTATCCAATGAAACTGATGGGCGGTAGGTTGAGGATGGACAAAAAGAAATACTACTTTACACAGAGAGTGATTAAAATGTGGAATTCGCTGTCAGGGGATAAGTCTGTCAGTGGCTACTAGCCATGATGGCTGAGGGAAACCTCCACATTCAGAGGTACTAATCCTCTGAATCTCAGAGCTAGGAGGCAACATCAGGGGACAGCTTTGGCCTCTATGCCCTGTTCTTGGTCATCCAGAGAAACTGGTTGGCCCCTGTGTGAGACAGGATGCTGGACTAGATGGACTATAGGTCTAATCCAGCAGGGCTCTTCTGATGTTCCTAATTGTCTCCATCTGCCTATCAGGAGGGTGGTAGAGAGAGACCGTTTAGTGCTTGGTGGCTTCGAGACGTTGGTATGACTTCTGGTGCAACTGCTGTGTGTTCTGCCTCTTGTGGAGGGATTGTTTGCCTTCATGCAGTTACTTTCTGTGGAGCAAGCACAGAGTAGCAGTGAGAACACCATGGCTGTGATGTGTTGCCGCCATGGTCTTATTGCTTGAGTTTGTTTTTAAGTTGTGTTTTGAAGAGGAAAATGAATTACCAGAAATATGTGCTGTCTTCCTCAGATTTTTAACCCCACTCCCTTTTGTTGTTTTTCACAGCGTGGATCCTAAAAACCCATCGGCAGGATGGGGTCTGAAAACCCGAGCCCACAGAACCCCAGCTGCAAAATCATGACTTTTCATCCGACATTGGAGGAGTTCCAGGACTTCGGAAAGTATATTGCTTATATCGAATCCCAGGGTGCTCACAGGGCAGGACTCGCGAAGGTGAGTTTTTACTGGCTGGTCTAGGGCACGGTCCTGGGTAATCAGAGCTGGGGCTGCAGACTGGCGTCAGTTGAATCATTTGGGGCCAGTTCTGATGTAGGGCTGAGAGTCAAGGCTGCATGCTGAGCGTGGAATCGGCAGTCAGTTATCAGTTCCCACTCTCAGCTGTGGCACTCAGGCCCTCCATGATCCTGCAACAATATTATTCCCATTCATCAAAACGGACACCAGGTTCATCAGAGTGGATGAAGCAAATGTTGCATTGTTAATTAGCAATTTAATCTGTGGCTTGCTTTGTGGCTTCTGGCAGCTTTTGAAAATAGATCTTTTTCTTCTTGGTAGTTAGCACATACAAGAGTCCTCATAGTTAGAGAGTGCACGTTTCGGTTTTCTCATGCTAGCCTCTTCAAATACTCTGGACTCAGGGTTTGGCAAAGCTAGTCGAGGCTTTATTACCATTATTATTATTTTATACCAGAAGCAAAATCTTTTCAGAGTTCTCAGAACAGTCTGATTCCTTCTGGGTGGCCATTGATATGAGACAGGCCGTGCCAGTCCAAGCAGGTACCACTTTGCTCGGCGCAACATTCATAATTTGGTCAGGTACAAAACTGGGTGTCTGCACTGTCAATTGAGTGTATTTTGAAAAAATTCAGTGTAAGCCAAAGTGTGCTAATATTGCTCAGTGCAACTTCCTAGGCTCCTTTGTCCTCCAGTGGAAGGGTCCCTGTCCCCACTCTCAGTCAGCAGTTTACGTATTTTATGTAGGATGCTAACAAAGGGGCTTTAAGGACCCCTCTTCCCTTTTCAGACATTGGCCAGATGATGAGTTCCGGAGAACTCAAAAGCTTTCGGATTGTATTGTGTTATTTCGGTTGGCCTTCAAAGGTATTATATGGCAGGGGGACTTTGCTGTGAACCTGTATAGCCAACTGCTTTCCCCCAGCAGTAGGTAAAACTGTAATGCCTGCTTAAAGGATCTTAGGCAGTATTGTTTAGCGGATTTACTCAGATTTGAAATGTGTGGGGTGTTGGGAAGCTGTGCGAGGAGCTGAGCTACAGTGCCTGCTTGATTGTTGTCTTAATAGCGTCATAGGAGGGATATGACTCAGCTGAAGCTAAGTGGACCTGGTCAATATGTGGAGATCATGGGAATCTCTCCTGTATGCCATTTGGAGTTCTGTGGTGGAAGAACTGTAACAAATGTAATGGTGGAGCAGTTGCCATGGCCAGGTTGTTTGTTTGATCTCTACTTTGTTCCTGGAAGTGTAGCCGTGAGACAGCTATTTTCCTCTTGGCTTCTTATGAGCACACAAGGCAATTGGAGTACATTAATCAGAAAGGACAAACCCCCCCACAAACCCCCCCCCCCCCCACACACACTGTATCTTACTAATTCACAGAAAGTTATTGGTTATTTGCCACAACCTGACACAGGGATGTGACATTTAGCTGAACAAAACAGGGCACAGCACAACTCCAGCAAGGGGTGGAAGTCAAGTCATTAAGCCATGAGAGACGAGGTCCTTATTAAAGCAGGTCAATTACTGCTTTCATTACAGTTGCACAGGGGAGTTTTGTATTGATGAAAGCTTTCCAGGCTGCATTTCCTTGTCCAGTCAAGTGTGCTAATGAATTTCACTGTGTCCGATTCCTCAGAGGTAGATTATTCTAACAAGATGTCAGCCAGTTCCAATTTGTCGATTACTATAAAGCCTCTTCTCTTTCCCCTTGGCTCCATATTCTCTCTCTTTTCTCCCCCCCCCTTTCAATTCTTATGCCTTAGCCACTCTTAGGGCAGAAGAGAAAGCCACTTTGAACCTGTAGAACGCTTTTGATGTGGGGAGTTAAATGTAGTTTAGGTCAGCCTTGCGAGTAGCATAAAGGATGTAGCTGCCCCCCACGATGAATCCAAACTTTCTTCTCCTTTGCCAGCTGGGCCAGAGCTGGAGTCTGAAGAGGCAACACTCGGGGGGGGGGGGGCACAGGGGGGGGAGAAAAAAAAGGGGGGGGGGGTAGGAAAGGGCCACGCCCGGGGGGGGGGGGGGTCACTGGGTGGAGAAAAGACAAGGGTGGCAGTGAAGAGGTTGGTGTCAAGGGCTCAGTGCAGTCCATCTCTCGCAGCAGGTAGAGAACAGTGAGACACTGCAGGGGGCTGGGCAAGAGGTTGGGTTACTGAAGCAGCAGCACCAAGACAGACCCCCCCCCCCGCACAAACACGTCTCTTTTGGTGGTTTTTCCATGGCACGCTGAACAGCCCTCAGCTACTCTTCGCCTTCCCCCCTTCTTTCAGCTACTACCTTGAAGTTACTAGTCATCTGATGGCTTTTTTCTCCTCATTACTGTCACAAAGGAGGGGGAGATGAGAACGTGAGAAGCTGGTGCGGAGGAAGGACAGAGAAGAATGGAAAGGACAGGAGCTGCCATTAGGGAGGTTACTGACACCAAAATTTCCAGGGAGCTGGTGCTGTGTGTCCTTTAAATAACCTCCAAGTTTCAAGTCAGTTTCAATTTGGGGATATATATATAAGACTAAGGTATCCAGTTCTAGGGGCCCCTGAACAAAGTGCTGCAGCCATCCTCCATTGCATCCTATGGAGGGAACACCCCTGAAAAAGATACAAAATTGAGAATCCCTCCCCATTGTTAAGCCCAACCAATGTAAAACCTGACAGTCTGAATTTATGTAAAATGCAAGAATCTTAATTTTAAACTGGGAATCCAGAGAAAACTGCAAACATCAACACTAATCAACTCCAGCAAAGAAGGAACTTTTAAAAAATGACAGAATCTTATCAGTCAAATAACGAATATATACACTGCAAAACCCTTTTTTGTAAACTACCATCCTATAAAGTGCATTGTGTGCCATTATAATATCCTAAAACAGGTATATATATTCATTACATACAGTAAACAATGATAATCAGTTCATAGCTCCTGCCAACCTAGCAGTTCGAAAGCAAGAAATTGCAAGTAGATAAATAGGTACCACTTTGGTGGGAAGGTAACAGCGTTCCGTGCGCCTTGGTGTTTAGTCATGCCGGCCACATGACCACGGAAACGTCTTCGGACAGCGCTGGCTCTTCGCCTTTGAAATGGAGATGAGCACCGCAACCCTAGAGTCGGATTCAACTGGCTTTCAAGCAAGGGAACCTTTACCTTTACCTTTTAAGAGTCAGTCCAGCATCGTTTTGAGGACTTAAAATTCTTTGTGATCTACAAATATGAGAACCAAAGCCTCAACCGACAAGATATTAAGAAGATTCTTCTCTGTAAAGAAAACATCTGGATTCACAAGCTCCATACATTGACCCCAGAGGGAATGAACCAAACAATGGACCTCTCATGCCACCTGTGAACTGGATTACCACCTTACTTGGACTTAAAAAAAGGGGGAGAATATCCCCTTTAAACATCAAAGTAAAGTTTAGACTGTTATTTAACTGAAATGCATTATGAAGTGGAATGTGGATTTTTCACTACTGTCACTTTAATTAGAGAATACACATATGAACTGTTAACAGGTGCTGTAAGATTTAATGACCAGAGAGCAAGGTCAGTACTAGGCAGCCTTAAGAAAGACAGGAACGCTCCGTCTATGAACTTCAGCTGCTTAATGTGGTAAGAAAACGTTGTGAAGCCAAGGGATCGCTGTCCCCCCGCGGCAGCGATCCTGCGACGACGCATGGATCCCCTGCTGCGGTTTGGCAGCCCTAATTCTAGAAACTCCCGTTGGAGGTTGACTTTAAAAAATAATGTAAATTGACTGGTAGTTATTATACTGAATGAACTAATTATCATTGTTTATTGCATGTAATGAATATATATACCTGTTTTAGGATATTATAATAGCACACAATGCACTTTTTAAGATGGTAGTTAAGAAGAAGAAGAAGAAGAAGAAGAAGAAGAGATTGGATTTATACCCCGCCCTTCACTTGGAGTCTCAGAGCGGCTTACAAACTCCTTTCCCTTCCCCTCCCCACAACAGACACCCTGTGAGGTGGGTGGGGCTGAGAGAACTCTGACACAAACTGCTCTTTTTCAAGGACAGCTGTGCCAGAGCTTGTGACTGACCCAAGGTCACATCAGCAGGTGCATCAGATTAAATTGCTAATTAACAATGCAAGATTATACAAAGCCTTGGGAGACAGAAACATGGGGTGGGGGCGGGGGACAGTCCTGGGAGCCTGCAGATGCTGGCTCCTGATATTCCCAGTTAATCCTGATTTGTGTGTGTATGTATGTGCATGCTAGGAAGTCATAATTGACTTCTGGCGACCCCCTAGTGGGGCTTGGATGTTCAGTTTGCTATTGCCTGCCTTTGGGTCCCGGCCCTGGTATTCCTTGGAGGTCTGCCATCCAAGTACTTGCCAGGGCTTGGCTTCCAAGATCTGACAAGATTGGGCTTCCTTGGGCTACCCAGATCAGGGCATTAATCCTGAAGATTTCTGGGAATTTTTCGGGACCCATTTTTTTGTATCCCCCAAAATCCTGGATATATTTAGGAAACACAAGTATATCAGGAAAACACCAAAAAGGTATTTTTCAGATATATATTCGGCTTGATTATATCCAGGTGCGCATCCCTACTTCTGAGTCTCCTTTAACTTCAGACTAAGAGCGATGTAGTGTCCTGGAAGGATAGGGCTTCCTTGTGTGAATTGGTATTGAGGTAGTCCTAGTAGAACTGTTCAGCAGTTGCATGTCTGGGTAAACTCACCCAAGTACCTGTCATGGAGCGTAGCAGGTCACATTTCAGGAATCATCATATATCTAATAGCCAAGTATGGCTTCCTGCACAGATCAAAAAATCTGGAGGCAGCAGGGGAGAGGGGGAGATATGGCTAAGATGCACATTGCTGGAAACTCGCGATTTGTAGAAAAATCACCAATGTTGCAGAAGAGCAAATGGCATTTGAGCGGTGTCACCCAGAAAATGTGACAGCAGTAGGTGCCTCAAGCAAGGCGTGAGGGGAGGCGACAGCTGGCTGCTGCTTGGCCTGCCCCATGACTCCACCCCTCGTTTGACTTGCTCGGCAGGATCAGAAAGGTGAATGGGTGAAAGGAAGGGAAGACTAGGTGACCAGGGGAAAGGGAGGAAGGGAAGAAGGGAAGAAATCAAGAAGTAGGCAGGAAGTGTGGGTGGAGGGAGGAGAGACTAGGCAAGCCAGCAGGCAGCTAGATGGGCAGTGGAGGGAGGGGCAGGGTGTGTGCGTGCAAGGAAGCAGGGGAGAGCAGGAGGGGAGATGTGGATGGAAACAAAGATCAGCGTAGCAGGTGGAGTAAAGGAAGATTGGGGAGGGTCAGAAAGAGAGCGGGGTGCGGGGGGAGGAAACACAGTGCTGGTGGGATGGGTATCTTTGTAGTTTCCTCCGCTTAATATAGAAGTTCTCTGTAAGGCTGTTTCTGAATGGAGCCATTGTGTTCTTTTGCTTTCCTTGTCTTAATTCTGTTTCTTAGTTTTAGGCTTATTAACAAGCTCCTCGGTTAAGTAAACCTGTGCGTATCAATCTGGGGGATTCTAACTATCCATATCTCAGCCTTCCCCACACACAACTTACTCCCTTCCTCCTTTTAGCCAAGTTGTTGAAAGAGTGCATATTGATGCCTTACAGAAGTGGGTGGCTGGCACCTGGAACTGGGCGGGGTTTCATTTGTACCCCCCAGATAGTTCTCTCAACTGAGGCATCTGCCATTTCCCTTGATAGACAAGAATGCTATTGTGTTTCAGCCTTGTCTGTTTTTGGTATGTATAGATGAGTGGATGAATTTAGTGCTAGCAGCAGCGTTGGACTGTTGCATTAATTTTTCACACAAATAAAGTGATGCACAAAATCGTACAAAAAAAGACTGTTACCATATATGGAACAAGAAATGGCAGGTGTTCAAGCTGGATTCAGAAAAGGAAGATTTCTTCCAACCAAATTTATGTTGGTTACTGGAGCATACGAGAGAATTTCAGAAGAAAATCACCTTATATTTCATAATTACAGCAAAGCTTTTAACTGTGGGTCATAAAAAGCTATGGTTGGCTTTGAAGGGAATGGGTGTGCCACAACATTTTGTAGTTTTGATGCACAACCTGTACTTTGGACAAGAAGCCACTGTTAGTACTGGAGAAACAGAATGGTTTCCAATTGGCAAAGGTGTCAGAGAAGAATGCATTTTATCTCCGTTTCTTCAAACTGTATGCAGAACATATAATAAAGAAAGCTGGATTAGATTTAGATGAAGGTGGAGTGAATATTGGTGGAAGGAACGTTAACAATTTGAGATACACAGATGACACCGCATTATTAGCAGAAAACAGTGAAGACTCGAAACAACTACTGATGATGGTTGAAGCAGAAAGTGCTAAAGCAGGATTACAGCTGAAGATCAAGAAGACAAAAGTAATAAATACTAGCGAATTATACAGCTTTTAGGCTGATGATGAAGAAGTTGAAATTGTTCAAGATTTTCTGTTCCTTTACCATCATCAACCAAAAGGGAGACTGCGCCCAAGAAATCAGAAGGAGATTGCAACTGGGAAGGGCAGCCATGAAGGAGCTAGAAAATATCCTTTAGAGTAAGGATGTGTTGCTGGCGACCAAGATCAAGTTGATTCATGCCATACTATTCTCCATTGTTGTGTATGAGTGTGAAAGTTGGACAGTGAAGAAAGCTGACAGGAAGAGAGTGGATTCATTTGAAATGTGGTGTTGGAAGAGAGTTTTACGGATACTGTGGACAGCCAACAAGACAAGTGGGTTCTAGACCAAATCAAGTCTGAACTCTCCCTAGAAGCTAAAGTGACTAAACTGAGGCTATCGTACTTTGGTCACGTCGTGAGAAGACAAGAGAATCACTGGAAAAGACAATACGGCTAGGACGAGTTGAAGGCAACAGGAAAAGAGGAAGACCCAACATGAGATGGGTTGATTCCATCAAGGAAGCCACAGTCCTCAGTTTGCAAGACCTGAGAATGGCTGTTACCAATTGGACATTTTGGAGGACATTAATTCAAAGGGTTGCTGTTAATTCATCGGGTTGCTGTAATTCGGAAGCAGCCTGATGGCACTCAACACATACACACAGAAAGCAGTGTTGGGATATCTAGGTACCCATCGAATCCAGTCTATTAAGCTGCTCTGAGGTGTTGCGGTAAGAATTCTCCAAAAGACCTGGGGATGTCACGGTACCTTTGTTGACTTGGACAGCAAACCATTTAGCACTGCATACATCACTGGTAAAACCTCAAATTGGATCAGGAAAGTATAGAGAATGTTCTTATAATATAAATAGCTCTTTAGAAGCCTCCTTGAAACATTCTTTGTTAATCTGTTCTCGGGCTGCGCTGCCAATTGTCCTCCATCAGAGAAAGCCGAGTATGGTTCAGTTTGCTCGAATGCATCCACTAACACTCTATCTTGTGATAGCAGAGACTGTCCAAGGCTCTTGAAAATGCCTGAAATATACATTAAACATCCTCGGTAGCATTTGGTTTCCTGCATATTTTCTTTGCCTTTATATCCTGTGCATTGTTCGATAAAGCTGAAGGTGCATGCAGTCAGTCCCGCGGAGAAGCAATCTCCAGCTTTAAGGGAGCGAATGCACTTCTTTGCAGCACGGCCGGCTTGTTCTTAGCGAGGGCTTCTCTTGAAACTCTTCACATTTGAATGGAATTGAATTCACAATAGAAGCAGTTTTTGTAACGCCGCTGTGGTGGAGGTGTTGGGGCCTGCTCTGAATTTCACCAGTGATAACTCTGGTGGTTATTTCCAGAATGAGCTGATTGTTGGGGGCAGGGAAGGGTTTGAAGAACAAAATTTAGTGGGCACCTTACTTATGAGGTCTTAACTTGTGATTTCCCCTCTCCTTTGCCACTGTAGGTGATTCCGCCCAAGGAGTGGAAGCCACGCAGGACCTATGATGACATTGACAACATGGTCATCCCTGCTCCCATCCAGCAGGTGGTGACAGGGCAGTCCGGCCTCTTCACTCAATATAATATTCAGAAGAAACCCATGCTGGTTGGAGACTATCGGCGCTTGGCCAACAGTGAGAAGTATGTACCAGTTTGATCATGCTTTAATAGGGCGTGATTTAACTGTAATAGAATAACTTTCTTCTTTGTCATCAGTAACTCCACACACCCACGCAAACTGGCCGACTGGACATGTTTGGATGCATGCATTGTATTTCCTCCTGCTTTTTTTATGGCAGCCGCAGACTGGAAAGACATGAAAGCTACATCTGCTTCTCTCTCCTCTCTCCCCCCCCCCCCAGCATGCAAGGATCCTTTCCTTAGTTGGCCGTGTGTCAACCTGGGTGATTTCAGATTCAGGTGCATGGGCATTACAGGAGGGGAAGGTCTCTGCCGCCTGTTGCTGTGGGCAACAGAACGCTTGGCCACGCGGAGGTGAGGGCAGGAGGGGAGAAATTATATGTAGATAGTTCTTTTGTATGGGAGGTAATGTAAAGCATGTGTCTAGGTCCATGTGGGTCATGATTAAGAAATGTGAGTGTGTGCTGCTGCCTATGCCAGTGTGGTATAGAGGGCTGGACTAGGCCCTGGGTTAAAATCAATGCCAGAAGCTCACTGCGTGACCATGGGCCCCTCACTCTCCCCCAGCCTAACCTACCTGACAGGGTTTTTGTAAAGATAACATGGACAGGAGACCTGTGTATGCTGCCCTGAGCTTCTTGGAGGATGTACGGGATACAAATTTAATAGGTAGATATGTATACATGGATGTCACAAGACTGTCCCCATATGGTTAGCAGTGACGTTTAGGAATGCTGGGACTGCTGAACTAAGTTCTATTATTTTATCCTGCAATCCTTCCAGGAACCTGTACATTCCCTCCCCTCTCTTCATTTTAGCTTCCTGACTGCACTGTCAGGTAGACTAGGCCAAGAAAAGGTGGCTCTTGGGTCTCTGAACATGCCTGTGTTGGGCAGGTTTTGCAGCTTTTCTCACCTATATGCCATTTTCCTTACCAGGTACTGTACACCCCGGCATCAAGATTTTGATGACCTGGAACGCAAATACTGGAAGAATCTGACTTTTGTGTCCCCTATTTATGGAGCTGATATTAGCGGTTCTCTCTATGATTCGGTAAGTAACAATGGCTGACTTCTAGAAAATAACTTGTATCATATTTGTGCTATATGCTGAAGCTAGTTTGAAATGTGATTTTAACTGGAAGAGCCTCTCCTAGAATCAGAGCCCCTGGCCTTTTTTAGCCTGTGGGCGCCTTTGGAATTCTGGACGGAGGTAGTGGGCACAACCACAAAATGGCTGCTGCGGGAGTTGTCAGCCCCAAAATGTCAGGGAGTGAGGTGGATGTGCATATGTCCAATAGGAGTCCTTTAGCATTCCGGGCAGAAGCTCTGTTGAACGGAATGCCTTTTAAAATTTACGTACTGTTTAAAAATACTTTCTTGCATATACACAATAATTGTAGATACTGAGCTTGCCGAGAAATCCTCATCTGGCAGTATCTGTCTTCATCTTACAGGCATCTGACACTCTTAGGCAAAAGGAAAAAACGCTTCTCTTGGCTTCTTCTCTGCTCTAGATGAGCCCTTCTCTCATGTGAGCCTAGACTTTTCAAGCCTGCACTGTTCATCGTGACTATGACAGTCAGGGCTGACGGGCTGGCGAGAGCTCATTCCACACACTGAATGAAATTTTGTTGTCTTAAAGGTGCCATTGGACTCAAACTTCGTTGTGATGTGGAAAGTGAGAGATTTTGGATGGGGTTTTGATAAGAACAAAAATGATAGTTGAAAATTTGTCCGAATTCAATGTGTAGGGATGTTGTTATCAGCTTCCCACCTGCATTATAAAATGTGTTCAAATTGGAAAACTGATGACTTCAGCGGAAGTTCCAGTTGGGCGCATTAAGCATTTTAGCCATGCTGACCTATTGTATTTTGTCAGAAGGAAGTCCCACTGTGTTTTTAGAATATCATTCTGCTATTTGCACAGGTAAAATACTTCATGTAAAACTGCTGTCAGCATTATACCACAAACGTCAAATTTAAAAAGCTCCACCGGTCCCCACCCGCTTTCTAAGAACACTTTGTGAGCACGCATAGGCATCATATTAGGGAACCCTGTTGTGACTGAATGAAACTACCGTGTATGTTTCGTGTAGGCTGGATCCCTGGCCTCATAGAGAGAAGGTACTTATGGCCTCTTTTTCTGTGGCAAAATAATGGCTTCTTTTGCCCTGGTGTTAAGTGAATGCTTCGTGTCATGCAGGATGTGGAGCAGTGGAATATTGGAAATCTGAACACCCTTCTAGACATGGTGGAACATCAGTGTGGCATTATCATTGAAGGAGTGAACACCCCCTACCTTTATTTCGGGATGTGGAAGACCACCTTTGCATGGCATACAGAGGACATGGATCTCTACAGCATCAATTACCTGCATTTTGGGGAGCCCAAATCTTGGTGAGTGCTTAGCGCTGGGAAGGGCCACAAAGCAGGCTCGTCCGAAGCAGGGTCGTTCACAGTGTCTCAGCCTGACTTCTTTTCACCCACCTTGCGCCACCCAGTTCTGGACGTGTTGTACACTTTGGGCCAAGGAAACTCAGACTTTGAGTCACTAAAATGTAAGTTGAACCAAAAGCTAAGGCAGGCTCAGAAAGAGACCTGGTGAACTAGAATCATGCAGTTCAATGAAAATGAAAGAAAATATGTTGGTAAATTTCGCCGCCGGCCCCCGTTCAACAGCCAGCCTGAATTCCTTTGCGCATCCAAATGTGAGCATGTGTCAGCAGTCCCCCGGGGCCTTCTTTGGTACCTGAAAAACCCACATCCTGTGGCAACATGTTATACAGTTCACACACACACACACACACACACACCCCACATAAAAAAGCATCTGGAAAACAGGTGCATTACTGAAAAGTGCCTACAGGGAAATGGCTGTGGATGGAGTAATACACTGTGCTTTGGGATGCTTTCCTGGTCTAAAGAATATGCTTAAGGCCCCGGTCACACGGACTGGATAACGCGGGGGGGGAGGCGTGGCTAATTGCTCCGGTGCAATTAGAGCCGTCAGAACGTGATCCGATGCGTCGGCGGCAAACCACGGGTCCTGTCCTCCCCACCTGCGCATTAACGAGGGGCCGGCGCGATCACACCGCAGGAGTCCGGAGGCAGCCCGTGGCAAACTGTTTGCCACTACATACGAGGTACTGTTTTTTTATTGTGCTTTTTTGGCGGTATGCCATGGGTTGGCCACGGGTGCGCTCCACTTGCCAGATGTTGCGGTGTGATCGTGTCCCGATAATCTGCCCACCACCTGTGGCTCTCCTGCGGCAAATTCGCTGTGTGACCGGGACCTAAGTTAGCTTTTGCTTGACTTCCTTTACACTGCCCCCATAAACTGCCTGCACCCTTCTGTCCCTGTAGGGGGTTAGGCAGATTCATGGAGGATAGGTCTATCAATGGCTACTAGCCCAGAGCTAGGAAGCAACATCAGGGGAAGGCCTCAGCCTCTCTTCCCTGTTGCTGGCCATCCAGAGGAACTGGTTGGCCCCTGTTTGAGACAGGATGCCGGACTAGAGGGACCACTGGTCTGATCCAGCAGGGCTTTTCTGATGTTTATACAAAGGTCTTGGCCTCTCTGCCCTGTTGCTGGCCCTCCAGAGGAACTGGTTGGTCACTGTGTGAGACTGGATGCTGGACTAGGTGGGCCACTGGTCTGATCCAGCAGTGCTGATGTTTATACAAAGGTCTTGGCCTCTCTTCCCTGTTGTTGGCTGTCTAGAGGGACTGTTTGGCCACTGTATGAGACCAGATGCTGGACTAGATGAACCACTGGTCTGATCCAGCAGGGCTCTTCTGATGTTCTTATGTCTGACACCAGTTTGCTTATAGCATTTTCTGTAACAAAAATGCAATCATGGCATAGATGTCCTGAGCTTTCCTACAGGATACTTGAATGCATTCTAGTTTTTAGTGGTGTCCCCCCCCCCTTCTGTATTTCACTTAACTTTCCCCTCTCATGGTTTGGGCTGCTTCTCTTTAGAGGCAGGCCTTTAAGTGACAGCTTCAGCTAGTGGGGGGAGGGGGTTTGGAACCAGTGGCCAAGGTTGGAATTTGGGTAATCTCCCTGCAAATATTGCAAGTGGAAAGGCAAAAGGCTGCATCTCACCTAAGTTGTTGCTGCACGGTGAACAAAATAACTGGAGCAAATGTAAAAATATGTAGTCTCGTATGGGAGGTGTGTTGCCAAAAGCTTCTTTGGTGAATGGAGGTGTAGGGGGACATCCATTCTGCCTCCCCTCTTCTACCCAAGAAACTGGTGCTGTTTTTGGCAAGCACAGCTTGCAGTTGCTCAGTGGTTTGCAAGATGGGAGGGTGACTTTGCCACACCCATTCCCAGCACATCATGAGTCTTGTGAGAGGGCCCAAGTGTGCTCCAGAGTGAAGAAACAGGCAGCCCTTCCTTGTCAAAGAAGATGTTGCTTCTTATGTGGCTTAGTTGGGAAGGGATCTTGTTATTGGTAAGTAGTGGTGTGTGCCTGCCTCCAGTTACAGATCTGGGAAAGGACCCAGCAAGGGACAATCCTGCCTTTGTGCTTGGAGGCATTCTCTGCTGTGCTTTAGTGCTTAGTAGCTTCACATCCCCCTAAGCGAGTGCTCTCCTTGGGATCTTGGTGTGCTTTATAAATACTGACATTTGAATGCAGATGAAAGTTTAACTGTCACACTGGAACGGTTGTCTGCCAGGGCACAGTGACATGAGTTCTCCATTTCTCAGCAGTGTGGAATAAGTTATAGGGCTGTTTTGCAATGCGGAAATGAGAAACGAGGAGGTCCCCATGAGTCCAGCCACGGTCATGATGTCGTTTCTGCCCCTTAGCCTCAGGATCTTTTGTTCTTAGCCACAAAGGTCTCTTCCAGGGACATTTTTTTATTTCCGAGGCATACCAATCTGTGTTAAAGATAATTTACCTCTCCACCTGACATCTTCGTTAAAGGATTTACCAACAATTCATTGTACACTCTCTGTCTCTTAGACTCAAAAAGCCATACAGTATATATACTCAAAAGCAAGATGTGTTTTCCCCCCCACAGATGCATGATAAAAGGAGGGGGTGGTCTTAGTTTTATAGAAGTTACAGTTGAATAATGATTATTTAGCGCGTATAACATTTTAAAGGTGGTTGTCGTACATTCAGGGTCATCTTCCTTTTAAGTAAATAACAGTAGTTGCTTTAAAATTCTTCATTGCTTCCTGGCCTCCACTAGGTGGTGCCCATGTCACAGTTAGATATTCTCCCTCCCCCCCCCTTCCTTTGGATCAACATTGTATTTCAACCTGTTTGTTTTAGCATGCAATTGGAGCTAGTGAGAGTGCTTTGAATCTGGTGATGCCCTTTTTTAAGGAGTAAGTGGATTTGAAAACAGGTGTTCAATGGAGAAAGAGTTAGGCGTTTCCCCTCCATTTCGTTTTCCTTTTTGTTACTTGCAAAGTTTTACAAAGAGAGAAGCTGGGAGTGATCTGTTCTGTTCAGGGGTCATTTCGTAGAAAAAGAGCTAGGGGAACTCATTAGCATAACTCATTAGCATATGCCACACCCCCTGACATCAGGGGCCCAGCGGTGGACCTGCAAGGCCAGCGGGAGTGCGAGGAAGCCCTGCCAAGGCCCTCCCTGGCCCCAGGCAGGCAGGGGTGGGGAGAGGCAGGGAGGAAGCAACTTACCCTCCCTCTTCTCCTGCCTCCTCCTGGCTGAATGACGTCCGGAAGCGGGGCGGCCGGAAGCAGGGGGCGGGGCTTCGTCATGTGCCCCGCCCCCCTGCACCTCACCCGGGGGAACTGTGTTCCCCCGCGTTCCCCCCCGAAATGACCTCTGGTTCTGTTTCCAGTAAAGTTAGATGAGTATCTATGGAATTAGTACTTGCTTCTCACATACATTTCTCCAAAGTTCAGTACTGGAAATTGTGTTCAGTGCGCACACTGTGTATACTTAAAAGGGTGTGTCATTCCTTTCCCATATTCCTCACTGTGTACTCCTTTTTATTCCAACAGATGTCCCCCTCTCCAGCAGTTTTTAAACAGTTAATGGCATTTCCCCTCCTCAGTCCTCTTCTCCATTAATACCCAGAAGGCTGGGAACAAGCAAAAAGGAGATATGTTGGCAGCTCTTTTTATAATCCATCAAAAATACAAAGTCTCTCTGTGTTGCTGGCGATTCCACTGGCAAGATTGCCTAATCCCCTGAGTTGATGGACCACATCTTTGTTGTGAAGCAGAACTCTGCCAAGGACACACTGAAGCTTAAAAGGCTTCAGCTTTAGGTGGTTTGGTTTAGTCCTGTTCAATTTCCTACCTCACTCCACAGTCCTAAGAACCGTAATTTTGTAAAGAATGCTCAAATTTCTTTGAGAACTCCTTCTTTTGGAGCTGTAGCATGAGAACACAAGACTTGCTTTGCTGTATCGGTCCAAAGTCCACCGAGGTCAGCATTCTGATGGCTATGAGCAAGGTGCTTCCAGGGAAGCCCATGAGCCTAAGCCGGGTACGAAAGCGGTGCATGGTTCCCATATTTTTTTCTTTATTTATGTCCTGCCTTTCACCCCAATGGGGACCCAAAGCGGCTTACATCATTCTCATCTCCTCCATTTTATCCTCACAACAACCCTGTGAGGTAGGTTAGGCTTGAGAGTGCATGGCTGTCCCAAGGTCACCCAGTCAGCTTCCACGGCACAAGTGGGGATTCGAACCTGTATCTCCGAGAGCCTAGTCCAACATTTTAACCACTACACCACGCTGGCTCTCCATTTGTCATTCAGAGGTAGACTGCCTCTGTGCATGGAGGTTTTGTTTGGCTGTGCTGGCTGGTAGCTGCAGTTAGTCATTTCCTCGGTAGGAAAAGCCCCAGAGGCCACTATGGTCCAGTATTCTGTTTCCAGCAGTGGCCAGCCAGGTGTTTCTGGAATCCCCCAAGCAGGGCATGACAGCAATGGCATGAAACGAGCTTTGAATCTGTGCTCTTGGCCTGTGGCTGGGGATGGTGTCCTGCCTTGGCTTGCTGTGCCTCCTGGCTCCTTGCACTTCGCTTCGGACTGTCTCCGTCAGACTCCTTTCTCCTCTAACATTCTGTAAATGGGCTCTTTGCCTTCTTCGGCACTGTTGCTCTTGTGAAAGTTCACCCATTATTTATGATCTGTGCAATAAATTGTTCTGTTGGGTAGAATATATTCTTTGGAAGGGTAGGATTAATTGCGTCTGCTTGGAACTGCCAGGTGAAAGCAGAGCGGGAGCCCGCTCGTAAATGCAATGTTAATACTTGGCTGGCTTCAGCACGACTTAGTCCAGCTTTAAAGGGATGTCTGAGAATACCCTCTGAGCGCGCACACTTTTGATAAGAGAAGACTAATCCTGCTTCCTGATGGGGGCTCTGTAATCAGTAGACCACTCTAGCAGATGTTGCTTT